TTGTAACAAATTTCTTTCTTTTAAATTTTCTAGTTTCTAGCTAAGTTATGATTGTAAAAGGTTGGCCTCGCGTTAGTTTTTAGAGCTAAAAGTTTTCAACAAGGTCGTTTTAGACCTCAGTTTCAAACAAATTAACTCTGGCGGGAAGTATGTAAGGATCTTAAGTTTTACTAACGTTTATTTTATTTTAAATCTTTACTATCACTTCTTATTTTCTACTTCCAGCCAGAATTATAAGCGTGAAGGATTTTATGCAAAGTTGTCTGGCGAACGCCAAGTATTTAAGTGTGGCCTTTTTGCCTAGCAGAGAGAGGAAGCCGTGAGTTCGAAGCAGGCCGCTTACCTTAGAAGTTACGCAGTTGCTATTTGCCTTCCAGGCCAGAGGTTTTAATCCTCTTGATAAATTAAACGTATTGTAGTGTTCACAGTCTCTGTGCTACATACGCTTCCTGTTACTATAAGGCCAATCTTATTCTAAAGTTAAATTAGAGTTTAGTTTTATTTTATACCTTTTACGTTAGACCCCGAGTGGAGGGTCATTGTATTCCGAAGTACGGAAGTCATTGTATATAAAGAAAAATAAAGGGTCTTGTATACCCTTCGTCTGTATCCTGTCTACTTACTACAATTAGTGAACATAGCTTTAGTAAGCTCTCTGTTCCTAGTCAGGTCATTGTATGTTTCCGAAGAAGGTTAGAAGAAACATTGAATCTGATAAAGTTAGAAGAATAGCACAAGCTGGATGTGAGAGTTTTAATAATCAGGCCGACGCTGCCTGCCATGAAATTTTTCTCTTTGCAAATCACAGCTGTCTCAAGTTACATAGTAATGCATAAAGGTAGAACTGGTAAGTTTGAATCACTAATGCGGTGTTAGATGAATTTGGCAGTTTATGTTACTATGTTATACTATGTTAATACTATGTTAGCCAAACCCAAGTAATATTGGTTTAACCCTCACAAGTGACGAGGTAGAATAAATTTAAAACTGACGCATACTTGTTTGTTTGAAGAGTTTAGCTACTCCAGAGGTCAGAACTCACTCACGGAATCAACATAATCACCCCCAGAACTCACCACGAATAACCCCTAACTTTTAAGATTAGTTGAATTCTAAGAGAATGTGTGCTGCAGTTTGACTGTTGTTCAAGTCCCAGCGAACGAGGTGACTACATGGACGTTTTCGTGGTTCTCGCATGTGTAGTATAAATATGAGTTCTTATATTTAGAAAACATTGCACAAAGCCATCTATTCCTTTTAGCCAACTAATCTTTATATCCTTTGTAATAATCAGTCAAACAAATAATAACCTTTTAACTGTCATGTCCGAGATTATCTCGGGCACAGCACTGGTGTTCGAAAATGTCACACCCGAGTATTTCTCGGGGTAATTTTTTTTTTTTTTTTTTTTTTTTTTGAGTGCATCGTATTGTCATACCCGAATATATATCGGGAGATGTTTATTTCGGCTACATTTGGTTTTTCCAATAAAAAAATTTGACAATTTGTGTACCCAAATCATCAAAATAACTTGACAGTTAAAGGGTTAAGAAACGTAATGATACAAAGTGACACAGAATATCGGCAATTTTTGAAATGTGTAGTGACAGTTATGAGCAAGTAGCAGTAGTGCTGGACAGTGACTATGAGCAAGTAAACACTTCGCCATTTTAGTAACAATGGATCAGTGGAACACAAATCTTAATGAAGTTCATGAGCGCGCTTTACACGCTAGTAAGGTTACAGTACAGTGCGCTGTTTCATTACATGGGATTATAGGACCTTATTGTTTTGTAAATGAACAGGAGATTACAGGAACTGTCAGTGCGGACCGTTACGTGGAAATGTTACAATCTTTCGTTACATCTGAATTGAACAATTTTCCTCACGACCAAGAAACCTGGTTTCAACAGGATGGAGCGACATCACACACTGCACGGCAATCAATGGAAGCTATGTGAGAATAGTTTGGTAACCGTGCGATCTCAAGATTCGGTAACGTTCCCTGGCCGCTAGCTACCTCAAGAGTAAAGTGTTCACGACTTGACCAAGAAATCTGCATGACTTAAAGCAGAGAATTCAGGATGAAGTCCCAGCTGAGATGTTGCAGCGGTCATTGAGGAATATCAACAGCAGATTTCAAGAATGCATTCGTACAGGAGGACACCATCTAAAGGACGTAATATTTTTAAAATGATAAATTTCATTAATGTTTCTTAAATGGCAAGTTTTAAGGTTTCAATTTCTATGAATAAAATGTTTTTCTCTCTGGCATCACTCTTGGTTTTACTGAAATGTTAAAATGTTCCCGTTTTTTTGTGTCACCCCTATATATTTCTCCTCTCTTCTTTTTGTATTGATTATACTGCTAACATTGTTCCAGGCCATATTCATAACTAACAGTTTTGTTCTTTTGTTAAAATTGCATTTAAGTTTTTCTAGAACATCTTCATTTCTATTTCTCTGTGCCTTGAATCTTTCTCGCTGTTATTCTTGTGCACTGCTAATCCACTGCTAGAGTCTATTACTTTGAAATAAGAACTTAAGTGTCCGTTGCCACCCCCCCCCTGCATTTGCGATTGTAATTCGTGCTGTCATCACAGAATAGCATTTAAGCATTTATTTTCTCTAGCTTATTTAAAACTCTTCTTCAAGTCAGCCTTCGTTCATGTTTTGTGTGTGAAACGAAAATGCTACACTGAAATAAAGTGAAGGTAAAAAAGAAGCAATGCTCCCTTTTCTCACGTCGCTGTTGCTCCCACGGCTACGAGCCGTGCGGTCGAAAGTAGCTTCAAGTTCCTACTTTAAAGTAACCAGACTATAACTTAATGTTGCTGTCTGTGTCGTCTGCTATTCTGCTATAGCTTGCAATTCATCGCCATAGTCATCGTTTTCGTCGCCTTCGTCATTACATAATCTTCCCATGTGCAATGATCTTTAGAACCATCAGGAACATTACATAGTTACGCTTTCTTGAAGTTCTTTATTACTACTGCTTCATCTATCATAGCTCAAATTCTATGAGCAAATGAATTCGTAAGACGATAATAGTCACTATATGGACAAATCCATTTTAAAATTTAGAGAAGCACATTTTCGGATAGTCTTGAGGAAAGAAAAAATTACGTGAATGCTTAAAAGATTTTCAGAACCGTGTGCTATTAAAAATGGCTAGGAGGGAGGAATGCGGTACTAAATACGGTACATATCTTACAGTAATTTGAAAATTCTTGACAGAAGTCACATAAGCTGAAAACATGCGCGAAGTCAAAGAAAATAGTCTTTCGTTACTTTTAAAATTCAAGAAAATAAATACTTGAAAACAATGAAATTCTGCTGTACCACTTCTGTATCAACAATCAAATCCTACTTAGTCAGCAACTAAATCTAGATACCTGATATAATTTCGAGTAGCTAAAACATTTAACTGCCAGTTCCAATTTATAAATAGAATATAAGTTTTATAAAAATTAAACATTTTTCCATGCTTACAAGAAAAACTATCGAATTTCCTGATGACATCGTACTCGTGATGATTCTGCTGATGAAACGTACGACGAGTCTTCTGATGATACTTTCCAACGTATCTCTTAATAACATTTCGCCACGAAACTCCCAAAAGGATGATCAAGCATATCATCGAAACAACAGGTGCAAAGTAGAAGTATTTCGCAACTGCCCCTAGGATCCAGAATAAGGCTTAGAAAGCGATTCCTGCACCCGCGGTATTTTCAATCACAGATTGGTAAACTATGTATCTTTGAGGTCTGAAGTATTCTATCGTCAACAGAGATCATGTACCGTGTCATAAAATTAAAGAACTGATACATATATGTCATTTTATGACACAATAATATAGTGGAAGATGGGCAAGGTTACCAGCGAAGTTGATGAGTGCACCACAAATAGCTATGGTGGTACTAGACTCGTAGAAAGGAGCATTTAAATTGTCATCCGTAGCAAAGTTCATCCCGAAACACAAGAGATGTTTGAGGTGGGGAAGGAAATATGTCCTAAATTTAAAACTGGGATAGCTGCTTCTTTGGCCTTCCGCTTTAAAAGCCAGTACTGACTTACATGTCAGTGGGAATTTGATGTCCATACGCTGGTGAATTCATACCCTTTTGAGCTCCATTATACCATTTGTTTCAAAAGCCGTGATAATTCCTTTCCTGTCGATTCTTAACTTCAACTTACTACTTCCAGCCAGAACATAGTTTTAGATTCACGGCCTTACCTACATTGTAAGGATTATGTTAATTTTATTAACAGTTAAATTTTAAGTTTCTTTCCTGTCAAATTAACTTACTACTTCCAGCCAGAATGTAGTTTTGGAATCACTCTGAATACTTAATGAGGAGGATCGGTACTTAAACCGCGAAGTCTACTTGCAGAGTTAGAGAGAATCAGAGTTTCTGATTTGCGCGCGTATGCCTTTTGGCTACTCTCTCTCAAAGCTGTTATTACGCTCGGCCGTACTTAAGCCCTTGATAGCTTCGCAGTCAATTAGCGTTAAGAGGCCAACTCGGTTAGTATCTTGATAACTTTTTAGTTTAGATTAGTTTTAGTTTACTTCTTAGCCTCTAAAGTTCAAGCCCAATTGTCGGCTTTTATTGTACACTCCAAGACGGAGTTATGATAAATCTTATTTGAATAATACGGGTTATTTACCTTTACATCTTGTTGTTTCTTGTCACACGAACTCAAGCGATTATTCGCAGTTCTTAAGCGAATCACGTTTAGCTGTAACGTAGCATTTACAAAATGGGGAACTCTACAATATGATCACTTAATATGCCATATTCTAGGTGGCTGCATGAAATGTCATATTTTGACCCTGCTGCATTTTTCACATTTTTATTCACTACTGCGCGTTTACTGGTGAATGTTATCAGGCAGTTCGGTAGCTTTCCATATCCCGCCAAACAAATTTCAGCGAAAATAAATATTGTTTTAATATATGTGACACTAGAGAATGATTTTGTAAATTAATAACTTACTTGAGGTGAGTGTTCAATAAGCTCCTGAACAGTGTACTTGTTATACATGTTTGTCATATTCCGTCTTTTTTCAGGAGGCAAAGAAAACTATGCGAAAAAAATTTTTAATTTTGTTAAATACCTAATATATTAATCAGAGAACTACAAATCTTCAGTAAATGACAGGGTGAAATCACTAAGTAATGTCAATGATGGGTTATACAGAAAATTATAAAACTTCTCCTACTCAGAACATAAGTTCTTTTATTACATCATGGACGTATCTCAAGGAGAATTTGTGATGATCGAAATTTCTAAATGATCTGTTTAGCTAAAATCGATGCTAGTCTGTTTAGCTAAAATCGATGCTAGTATTCTAGTCAATATCGATTTCATTAAGAGGTAATTGTAACTTGGTTGATATTAAATATTAATCCAGATGCAACACGGAAAATAGTTGCATTTTAACTTTAATTCCAGTTATTTTTTGGAAAACATATACTCATCTTCCGAACATTATTTTTAACAGCTTTGGCAGATAGACGCGATTGTTTAACTTGAACTATCTTCATGAAATCTAATTTTTTGAATTTCTGTTGGAATTCTTATATCTGCTATATATCAGCATTGTTCACGTTTTTCAAAAACAAATGAAAAAGAAAAAAAAGAAAAAAAAAAAAAAAAAAAAAGGAATACTTTATTATTCCATATCAAAAAACAAAAATTAAGAAAATAAGAAAAAAAAAAAAAAAATTACCTGAAACGGAAGGTCGAGAGGGAGGTTGGGAAACAGGGAAAAAATTACTGACCCTAACCAAATTAATAAAGTGATTTATATACCTATACCCCCCCCCCCCAATGGCAACTATCCATCACATTGCCACCTAGGAGGTACCTTTTGGGGAAATTAGAACCCGATACCACGGACCGGGGAAAGGACACCAATTTAAGCATTTGAACATTATTAGAGTTTAATTTATTATATAGGAATATAATGTCCGTTATATGAAAATTCTGACAATTTTTATTTAATATTAAAATAAGAAAAGTAATGTGGAAGAAGCCCTAAAGGTTAAAAAACACGATCAAATAAAAAAAAAAAAAAAAAAAAAAAGAAAAAAAACGAAAGCATAAAGGGGCCTGTAAAGATAATTAGAAATTAAAGAAGTATAAAATTTAATTTTAAGAGTCCTATGAATTCCATTTCAGTCCAAAGTCTGTTGTAAGTCACATAACAGGGGGCTGAATTCCACCAAAAAGTCAAATGTTACCACAAAGGAACAAATAAGGCCTTTGATGTAAATATTTCTATAATACAATTAATGCAACTTTCAGTTCTTTAATGTTTTTAGGGGAAGGGAAATAAAAATTTTGTAACACATCATTCATAACCAACAAATTAATTTTCATTTTAGGAAGACAAAATTTACTTATTATTTTCAAACTAAGACTCCACAACTTTATCTAAATGAGCCGGGGGCATTTCAATAGCAAACTGAGCAAATGAATACTCACAGCGCCAAAGATTGCCAAATTACAGTACGGAAGGCCGCCGGAGGGAATGCTTTTTCCAACTGCGTCATCCTATAATAAAACACACTCCATTTTGGAAAAATAAAATACTTAGAGAAAAAAGTATTTTCATAAGTGAGAGCCTTTAACGTATCATAAAGACAAAAGAAAGTCCTACAACTCAAAACGTTCAAACAAACTTCATTGAAACACAGTAAAAATTAAAATTCAAAGAAATTTAAACAATAGACAAAAATCTTAGTTCATAGGAACCTTCCCTAAGTCAAACCTTCAATTCTTACCTAATTTTTATCAAATTCAATTTTTTATTTTCCAATTCAGAATGAAAAACGCATTAATTAAATCATAATATTTTGAATTATTAACATTGATCTTAAAAAAGCAAAAAATGATAACCGTGAATAAACATAAATGAACTTAAAATGTATGTAAACAATGTTCAATTGGAAATACTCTTCTCTCTATCATTTGATGAACGTAAGCATTCTTAGAATTTGAAGAATTTCCGAATAAACTGAACATGCAAGAGAGCACAAAATACTAGGGGCATTTCAGATTCACTTTGATGACTTCAAAGCACTTTGATGTGTAGATGTTCTTTCTAATCGATAAAGAAAATCAATCAAACGGGTGAATACCGAAGCGACAAGGAAGATTAATCCGAACGTTCAGCACTGAATGTGCCGAACACGTCGGAAATGAATTGATTACTCGGTAGTTCGAGGGCAACAATTGGGAATGTGCCGTAAATTGGGTACCACGGAGGAAAATAGATTGATGATTTCACTGGTAGTTCAGCAGCAACGAAATCAAAGAGGGAAAACACAATAAATCCAACGCTTAATTGGCCACATCACCCGGAAAGACGGCCGTCAGATAAGATTTACAGATGAAGAGAAATTTGATTGGCCAGAGAAATTAACTTGGTAATTCTAAAGAAGGGCCAGCGCGAAGCCAGTTTTCAAACCAGGTTATTACAACTGGATAGGACCAATCAGAAAGTTATTACGAATTAGAACTATTGTGGATAGAAAAAAAAAGTGTCGAAAAAAGGCAATGAATCTTAGACTTAGAAGCAAAATAAGAAGTTAGGTTTTGAAAGGTGGACTGCACATATAAAGGAAAAGCTTTGGTTCTACAATTATTACGTCATCAGGAGCTGCGGGGCGGCCAATTAAGATCTAAGAATGACGCAATGCAGGAACGCACGAGAAGAATAGAGACGGAAGAAAAATGTTCAAATATTTACCATCACATAACGTAATCCTCATATAAATATAAAATATAAATAAATACCGGACAATACAAATAAACGGCCGATTGTCGAAATTCAAACGCGTTTTCAATGTCCGTAAGGGGATTAGGAAATAAGGAATATATAGGAATTTTCCCCTTTTCAAAAATCGGACGGCTGCAATATCGCCAGGGGCCCTTTTCCCCTCCCATATGCCTATAAAAATTTGTAATTTTTTGTGAGGGGCAGGCCGAAAAAGTTTCGACTTGGGGCCCCCGGAAATCCGTCCAATTTACTAGGCCCAAAATCTATGGGTAACCAAAGGAGTTGCCGTGTACGGAATATACCAGGCCTTCTTGCGGAAGATTAAGATGCATTTTGGCAGTGCATAAAACACTTGATGGTATTAATCCGCCGAAACCACCACAAGAGAAAAATAGGGAAAATCACGCAAGTATTTGTTTACCATAGCGAGCACTCTGACGCTAGATTCACTTAACAGTATTATATATCATTCATATTATAAAATAAAGAATAGAATTATCTAATCGTTGCCACATGTTCTATTCAAATGCTATAATAAAACTAGAATGATGTATAAAAGAAATTAAGCAAACAAAACAAAAAAGAAATAGTTTTTCACAAACGATTGAGTATTTCTTATTCAATTAATTCAGTTCTCACTTCGCGAGAAGGCAAAAATACATAAAAACTCAAAATATTTATATTAAAAATTACGAAGTAAATCTGAAACACTTATTTCCTCGAAAAAATTCCAGAAAGGATTAAGCATTATTTAATTGGCAATAATAAACGAAGGCTTTATCTTTGATGTTGCGAAGCTAAGTTTCTCTAGATTGGCAACAAATCCACTAGTCTGCTGTTTCAAATGTAAACAATCAATGGCCGCCATAAAAAAAAGGCTTAGCGGCACTTAAACAACTTTAAAATTGGTGATAATTCTAAAAATATTGCATACAGATTTACTAAAGGCATAAAAACCTCAACCGGAAGACAAGAACAACATAATTCAATCATTTTTAAAGCAAAAAATGTACAATTTACAAACATATACGAGTAAAGAAACTGAGATCACTGAGCCCGGTAACAGAGTGGATATATATATAAATATATTTATATACGTTTGGCGCGGCCGATTGCAACCAAAATACGAGATGCACATCTACATGTTATAGTAGTCCTATATACAAAATTTCATCGTTCTTCAGGGTACTCGTTTTTGAGTTATGCGAGATACGTACATACGTTCGTACAGTCGCCACGAAAAATTTTCTTCAGAATTCATTTTAAAGCAGTTTTATAATTTTTTGGAGGAAAAGAGTCTTTTATTCTGTCCTTACGTACAGATACCACGCAAATACATCGTTAAATTGCATTCGATAGCGGTCAAAATGGATATTTTCGTTGAAATATCCTGCATGAAATTTTCGCGATTACAATACTTCCTTTTTACTTCGTACAAGGAAGTAAAAGGAGATATTATAAATATATATCAAATTCAATTAACATTGAGGAGCTAAAAGTTTAAAAGCTAATTTTTAAAAGACTACACGTGCGATTTTTAAAATTTTGGCAGTTTGGCATAATTTGAGTTGTAGAATCGAAATACGGAAAATACTCGGCATGCCATTTGAGAAAAAGGTCTGATTTTGTGTCATAATGTCTACATTAAAACAATGCTATATATAAATCTAGTACATCTCCTACGTTGTGCCTTCAAGATATGAAAAACGCAAGTTGAATTTCGTCAATCGGCCCAGTAGAACGGGTGGTATAGAACTGTCCCCCTTTTTTTCGCATTGTACATCTTCAGTATTTCTCTTAGTTTCTTTTCTCAAAAGGGATAAACGTTTTAAGCTCTGTCTCTCTATATACATATACATACATATATAGGAATATTAAGTCAATGGGAAACAACATGCAAATTTGAAGAGACAGTTCTTAAACAGCTGGCAGAGGTACTTCAAGTATTATTGCATTGGAGATTGATTTAAAAAATGCTTCCTTATTTAACGCAGAAAAAAGAAGCTTCGCAAATGGTTTTAAATTAATAATTCATGAAAAATTGTTTTATTGAAATTAATTCCTAAACCTACAAAGAATCTTACTACTGTAACACAAAATTCATGTTCACATTAAATAATATGAAGAAGTAGACAATCTAGTAAAATGAAAATGCACTAAATGAGGTCATTGTGGGGCATATAAAAAACAGATAAATGAGATGAAAAACTGTTACTCTGAAGAATAAATGAATTAACAGCTCAATGGAGAAACTTCTGCACTTACATTGGCCAGCATGATTTCGAAATTAAGCGTTTCCTTGAGTTCATCTTCCAAGGTACTTGCATTTGCACCCAACTTATTAGCTGCCTTTATCATCATTTTGAAATAAGCAGCTACAGAGGAATCATTTAAACCCTGCATCAAATACGTGAGACCTGGAATTTCTAAAGCTGCCTGGTCCAACTTAAGAAAAGAATCAAAAACAATTTTACATTAGTTGGATAAGTAAAAAAAAAAAAAAAAAATCAGTAAGCTTTTCTACGACAGTAACATGTCGAGTTACAAATATTTTTGTTTACTTTTTTGATTGCTCCCCTTAAGCGAAACGTATGCTTTCGTTTAAGAAAAACTTTCAGACGTTCGTTTTTTTAAATATGATTTACCAAGATTTCCTAAACGTCACAAATCCGTTAGGAATATCATAACATCATATAGAATCCATTAGGAATATCATATCATTTCGTAACATCATGCGCTATGATTTTCTTAACGAGACAGTATTGCAGCAAATCCAAATTTAATTCTTCCTTATTCAAATTATTTATCTACTAGTCGCAGACTATGTAAGTGCGGATAGATATGGTATTAAAAACATCTTTAAACATGAGTGTCGCAAGTGTTGAGACAATCTTTCACGACAACTTACGCTTTCACAAAATCTGTGCAAGGTGGTTTCCTCGCCAGCTGACATTTGATCAGAAGTGGTCACGCATGACGGTCTGTGAACAGCTTCTTAATCGGTTTGCAGCCGAAGGTGATGAATTGTTGCAATCCATCATCACGTGTGATGAAACATGGTTGCACAATTCAACTCTAGAGACCAAAAGAAGCAGCATGGAGTGGTGGCATAAAGGTTCCCAGCCGCTCAAGAAAATTTAAAACGCAACCGTTCGCTGGAAAGATGGTAAGTGTCTTCTGCGATATGAAGGATGTTACCCATGTGTATTTTCTGGAAAAAGGGTGCACAGTTAATGCCCAGTATTACTCCACATTATTGAGTGGGGCTGTGCGAAAATCCATTCGAAGAAAAGATCTAGGATGTTATTTGGAAATGTCATTCTTCTCCATGACAACGCCCGCCCTCACACGGATACTGTGACAACAATTCTGCCCAAATCGCGCTGGGAAGCTCTGCCCCACCCCCCCCTACAGTCCAGATTTAACCCTCAGTGATTATCACTTGTTTGCACTCCTTAAAGACCATGTGGATGGGAAGAAATTCACGGCAGATGAAGTACTGCGGAATGATGCCCTCCAGTGGCTACGAAAACAACCAAGTTCTTTCTACGCCAAAGGAATCAGGTAGCTGCCACAACGATGGCAACGGTACCTTAACGCTCACGGAGAATACTTTGAAAAGCTGGTATAGTTTGGTGCTTCTTGTGGTATCTGTTTCTTCTGAAGAAATAAAAAACCCGGTCAACCTTAAACGACCCTTGTAATCAGAATAAATTGTTTAACCGTCAGGCTGAAGAATAAATCAAAATAGTTTATTTTAAAGCCTCATTTAAATTTATATTTACTTTACTTTAGAAATAAGATGGAAAGATAAATTATCTATCTGACTTTATAGTTCTAGAAGTTAACAGTTAAAGTGGTCTGAAACTGTTAACTAATAACCTGGTAGCTGCAGTTTTATAATAGTATTCAAATGATTTATGGTATCTTAAAACAAATACTTTTAAGCTGTTTTCTACAGATGCCAAAAGGCATGTAAAACCATAAGTTATCTTTGATAAGAAAGATAAACAGTAGTCTAAGAAATTTTATTAGATCAAAATTATGATTGACACTAATAAAAAAAACATTATATCTTTTAATTTGGAACTAATGTGTTTCGTAAGCCAGCATTCATCGTAATTTTATTAGCCCACTTTCATATTTTAGATATTGGTCTGAATTAATTAAATTGATTCTTAAGTATTGGCCCTTTCAGCTGTAGACAGTGTAACTATTCATTTTACTACCTCATAGTTTTTTAGTGTTTATTTTTTTGCACCTTTTATGCTTTTTGCCTCTTTATATTATCTTTTGTTCTTTACATTTTTATAAGTTTTGATTCCGCTTGAAAAAAAAAATTATTTTAATTGAAAAGGTCTAGACATTTGAGAGCCTTTGTAAGATTTATTAAATTGAAATGTGTTACAAAATTTAAGGCCCTGCCAATTTATATTTAATAGCCCGAAGCAAAATTTAATAGCCAGTCTTATATAACCCGAAGAAAATTAAAAATATTTAAATAAAGCAGCATAAGCTTCAAGCTTTTAGTTTTATTGACAGTTGAATTACCGTTTGTGTGAAGTTCGTGTTAGTTAGTATTTTATTGTACAAGTAAGGAAACAAATACTATGTGGCAAAGAGTCCTACTAATTCTGATACACAATACTTATGAATCTGATTCGAAATAGGACAATAAAACGCCATCTTTAAAGTTGTATACAACGATATTCAACGATAAACAATTTACATGGTTTAATATCCATTTTATTATCAGCTATGATATCATTAATCAACTTTATTTCGTCTTGTTGATCGAGTGCTTACAATCTTTGCTTTAATGTTAGCGATAGAATCGCCAAATGCTGTTTTGGTAAATCAGAGCTCACTCACCTTTATTATTTGAATTGTGTTGTTCTTATCGTCTGGTAAAATTGACAACCCCATCAGGATGTTGTGGTTGTAGCCTTTCTTACTCATCTGCTCAATTGAATCAATCCATTCAAAGGAAGTCTCATTCCAATTTTCTCCTTCTACTACCGGCCAGCCTCCGAGATCCTTTAAAACCTTCTTCAGAGGTTCACTGCCCTTCTGCTGGATGCGTTCTTCCCGCAAACAATTTTAAACAAACAGAAATTATTAATTACATAGGTTGGAATATCCACAACATTTAATTAATTTCATTTCAGATGAGGCACACTTAATATCCCTTTTATTTGTACAACTGTGAGGCACTTTTATTTGTCATCTGTTTCACTTGAACGATTGACAAAGTCTCATCCTCTATGGTTGAAGCAATGAATTAAACCATTCAATACCCCAAAACCGTAACAAACTAAAATGTTCAATAATTTACAGCAATTGAATGTGTGAAACGAGCATCTGAAAGACCGCCCTTCAAGATGAAATACAATAATTACGGAACATTTAAAACCAAAATTCTTCAAGTTGATGGCTGTCTTTGGTATTAGTTCCGCTGTAGAATTCGTGTTTAGGAAGAGATGATTCTAAGCTGCCATTTTTATGTTTAGCTCTCAAAATAAAAGTTTTAGCTTTTGAAAATGGTTAAGGCAATGATGAAGCCAGAAATATATTCCCATAGCAGCTGGTTTTCAGTAACCAAAAATTTATTTTTAGGAGAAACAGCTAAATTAATGAAACATTTGAAAAATCGAAATTTAGAATACAGAATCGAAAATTAGGGACTTAAATTCATTTATTGATGATAAAGCTATACTCCATGTAGTAGAAAGACTATAATGAGCAAATCTAAGCTTTGACACAAAGTACCTGATCATTTAACACAGAAACATGGATTCACTGATTTGATTGTGACACATACACACGAAAAAATATTTTATTTTGGAATTGCTGGCATTCAAACTCAAATTCGACTCCAATTTTGGATCGTCAAAGGTAGAAAATTCATCATGTCTCTCTCAATAAATGTGAAATTTATTGTCTAACGCACGTCTATTAATTACATGTCTATTAATTATGTCTATTAAGTACAACGTCTATTAATTACATGACTTAACGCACGTCTTGGAGCTTAATTAACAGTTCCTTTTCCTCATTTTCGAACTGAACAATCACAACGATTTGCTGCAATTCGTCTGGCTTATTGATTTGTCTCCTGTACGTAAATCACAACGATAATAATAAGAACTACATTTTACTGTGCATTTGGGTTTTCACATGAGCCGTACACTTTGAACTTGCCAATAATCGATTAACTGAAACATTCCTTTTTGCACTCAGGAGATTTATCTACGAAGAGGTTTATGCTCAGTATTTTTTACAGATAATGCAAAGAAGTTTAAGCCAACTGGAATCTATCTCAGAAACATGTGGAGAATAATGATCCACCAAATGTTAGAAATTTTTATATCTTGCATGGAATCAAATAGGAATTCATTGTTGAAAAGACAGCATAGTGGAGCGGATTATGAAAGTCTTATACACTCTGTCAAAAAACCACTTTAAAAAAGGTTTTAGGAAAACTTCTCGGAGAATTAGAGATAATGCTCTTGGAAGCCGAAGCTGTTCTGAATTCAAGACCTATCATTTTTGCTTTTAAAGATCCTAAGGAAACTTATCCATTGATCCCATGTCACTTCAGATTAGAAAAAGGACCTCTGAACTTAACTACAACTGAATTGCCAGGAGAAGTCCCTTCAAGTATCAAGGAGACATTGGTGAAAAGTTTCAATTATTGAGAGATTCTTCTAAACCATTTTTGGTAAAAGTGGAAAAACGAATATTTGTTAAATTTTAAATCAGCGAATTCCATTAATTCCCCTAATAAATCTGACGGATTAAAAACTAGAGATATTGTGATAATACAAGATGACAAACTACGGTGAAAGTTCTGGAAGTTTGGTAGTATTAAAGAAGTTTTTACTGATAGAGATGATTTTAAAATATCCCGCTATATAAAAACTATGCAGTTAATAATTGAAAGACCAATACAACTTTCATACAATCTAGTAGTCCAGAATTGATGTATTTGCTATTGTTGTATATAACTGCATACAGTTAAGAAATAAAAGACAACGAAGACTCCATTTCTGAACTCTGAGATCACAAATGCATCGTACAGTCCTCATAGTTCAACGGAACCACATGTGCATGGAAGGTATGCCTTGGCATTGGACTGCCCTCTGTTTATAGTCATTTACATATTCTGTCGTAAGGTATCGAAACATGTAATTTCGTCCCATTCCAAATTTCCTTCTTCTTTGTGAGCCGCTTTTTGTTATGGAGTGTATGTCTCAAAACTCTCTAACTTTAAAAATTGTACAATTTCAAACGTTGAATACACTAAAGCGACGACAAAGTCAAATCTTTGAAAATGATTCATGAAAAGAGTCTAGTTCAATACTATCTGAAATTGTAAGATGTGATAAAAATGTAAAATTGTAAGTTACTGTTGTTAGTGGCGAAAGAAACTTCTCCAAGCTTAAGAAACTAAAAACATATGTATGAGTTTCAGTTCTTCAAGAAAACTTTCAAATACATTTCTTTAAGTGATTATAAATAATTAAACAGACTTTGAAAAAAATGATAATTTAGATTCTTTAAAAGCAAGAGAAAATAGATTCTGTGCTTGAAAATTAGTAAATACTTTTTGTACATTGTTATTAACACTCTTTTATTGTTGATTTGTTGTTTTGACAAGATTATGAAAAGCTTATAATGTTTACCAGTTTTAAACTACAGAGTAAAACGCCAGTATAATAATGTTTTATAAGTAATACGAGTAATGGTATTTTGATTTAAACATAAAAGCGCAAAAACATAACGTGATTATCTTTGAAATAAAAGTGCACTGCATGTATGGGCACGCAGTTACCTTCTTGCCTCAGGTGAAGAAACATCTAAACATGACTCTGATCATAGCATTCCATTTTTACGAACAAAATGTCTCATATTTAGTGAATGTTACCCAAAAGGTACGCCATTTTGTATCCGTTACCATATTATATAGGGATACTACTGAATTATTTTCTGTTTGCTGATGAGCTGTTTCATGGGATATCAAATAACATTATCATTACATTCGAATAGCCTTTATATTCAAGATATAGCAAAATGTTTGAAAAGAGTGCCTCATTTCTAGGTTGACTGAGTGTAAATGATGGGAGAATAATTCGAAATGAGACTTACCGAGATCCATACAGGAGTAATAGAATCTTTTTATCATTTGAATGAAATAAGGCTCGTCTTCCACCGATTCCTCTTCTAAAAGACCTGGAAATTGAAAATATGTATGTTTAGAACCCGCCGCTTATTAAAATCACTTCCAGTTCAAATGCATTAGAGTTTATTAAGCGGCTAAGCTAAATAGATGTCGATTTGTGTGTGACAAATCGTGATATCAGTTTTAAAATTTTCAAGTAAAATAATCGCTAACAATTAATTCATTAATAAGTTTTAAAATAATTATTACAAATCAATACTAAAATTAAACCACTTACGCAATTTTGGATTACATTTCATATTTTTTTTATAAATATTTTTTTAATATTTACGTTCTTAATGAACTTTTAACTCTTGCAAACAGCTATTCTGTCTGGGTTTATTTCATATTGTTGCAACTTTTCATGGGAAGAGGGCGCTGTCGCGCCGAAAAGGGTTTTCTAGTATGTGTCCGCATTCTGGCAGTGGTAACGTTGTTGCTGTGTTAGTGTGAGTGATGTAATTTATTGATGTCTTTCAAAATAAATGTAAAAGAACAATATAATTGTCAAATTTATTCCTCCTAAATCAAGACCAATATTAACCATTACTGATGTCACGTCGTCGAACCAAGGTAGCGATCATAAATTTGGTAAAAGAGTTGCAGTCGCCTCTTCGAAATCGGAATACATATCGTTCAACAATAGTTTCAAATTTATATTCCTATTTTCGTAAAACTGGTGGTAGCTGTTTTGATCTGCAATTTTCAGTTCAAGAGTTTTTTTTTAGAATCCGCAGTGCTTTTCTAGATTCGATTGATGATGGCATGTCATCAGTTTTTTCTGTATCATTTTCATTGTCAGTTTCTGCGGCTCCTTTAACACTTTCATAGACAGTCTTTGTACAGACTTTTCTCAACACTGTTGTGAACTGCTGTCAATGATGACTGAAACATTAGCTGTTTGTAACTTAAAACAGGGGTACAAAACCCGCGCCTTTTTCATATCTGGCTAAATAGTTTGCTATTGCATTGAAAACTCACTGCAGTTTGTTGAATGTTTGGATTATACCCAATATAAGACATGCGTCTCAGTTTTCATCATTGTCTGTTCCACCTTCTTTAAAACTATGCTCAACATTTGGACGAAGGAATAATATAGTTCTTCTTTTTACAAAACATTTAAAAGTTACAGATTTTAAATCTTAGTTGCGCAATCTTCTGATCTGCAATCAGTTTAGTTCTGAAAGGTATAAGCATATTTACTTACTTCTAAGTTTGCGGTTGATGCCATCTTGAAGTTCGGAAACAACGGAAATCAGATATTTTCCCTCAGGAATGGCATGTTTGTTCAACCAGCCACCACATGCAAATTGGTAGAAATCATTGCAGGGCTTCTCCGTAGCATCCAAATTGGACAAGATGTTAGCAGCTGAGAATTAATACGAAAGTCATCATTTATGAGCGAATAACTTTTCTCGATCATAGATCGAATTCTATTTCAGGAAGAAATACTAAAAGATATGCTTTGAAATGCAGTTAAAATATATAAATTATAACTTATACATTCTGATGGTTTTGGCAAATGTTAGCATAAAAAGGTTAATAAAGTTCCGAAAAATCATAGATTATCATTAATGCAATTAAAAATCGCGAAGTTTGTGCAAAGTATGGTATCAGCTAATACCAGTACTGTAAAATGGCACCTTCTGAAAGCTGGATTATAAATTTATAGACGACATAAGAAACATAACACTTTCGACGATTAAGTTAACACTTTCTATGATTAAAAAAAAGATTTACTTGGGCCCAAATGTGTGACGTATAGCATACATTTTCTTGCGTTCAAACGTATGTATTCTTGGATCCAAAAAAATAGACTTCTCAAAACTGGAGTAAGCTAGTTATTCAAAATTCCATTATTTTACATGTTCAAATTAATTTAATCTTTTAAAATTTTAAAGCCTCTTATTCTATTGGTTTCTAATTTAGAAATATTTCTTTCGCTGCTCTCGTATTTTTTTACGATATGGTGCTTTTTTGATAAGATTTCAATCTAAACATTTAATCAAAGGGTTCAACGTCTTCATAAAGGCAAGGGGAAGCAAACAAAAGAGTTGTATTTTAACTACGAGGAAACAGCCTCCAATTTTTTTAATGATTTAGAGCTGTATTGTTGTTTATGATATTGGACAAAACGAAATAATTAAAGGTAAGTTTACAAAAATTACAAGAAGATCTTGGAAAAATAGCTCTTTCCGCAGCTTAGTGTACGGTTTCCCAAGGCTGGACAATTTTTCAGCAAAACAATGCTCTTTTTGACATTAGCTCAGTCTTCGCCTGTTTAAAACCGTAGGTCCATTCTGCTGCGAAGAGCTATTCTAAAAATATGGACCACCCAAATTAATTTTAATCACATGTATTTGTTTTCTACTTGAGTAACTCTTCGTTAAATGTAGAAATAGAGCTAATTAATTACATTGTAATTTATTACATTGTAACATAAATCTTAATCAAAGATTTTATTCAAATTTAATTAACATTTTAGTACCTTTCGAAAGATAAATATCACCAATTACGAACTTTTGTTACAAGAATATATACTTGTTTTGAGTACATTTACATGAGAACAATTTTTTTCTTCGTTTTTTGAAAATTGATAAGTCTACGAAAAGAACCACGCTGCCAATGAATATCTACAATTTTGGATAGTACGTTTTAGTAATTTCCCTACAAGATTACAGACTTCATGAAAATCGTACCATCGTGAGGTGACAGAAACTTGGCGGGCCGAGTAATATTAAATATTCAACTTTATTTCAGTTGACATTTGCAGCCACAATTTACTTGGCATTTTAATAGTGCCTATTGAAAAACATTTACATTTCTGATACTGTTGCAATAAGAAGACAACAGAGCGAAACAGCGTCCAAGCGGTGATATAGGTAGAAGCTAGATTGCGTAATAATCCAATATGAAGGATCATCAAGAGAAGGTTTTGGTTCAGACTGCTTTTTAAGAGAAAAGTTTCAGTTCTCCAAATTTTGAGTTCAGATGTCTAACTACGTCATCTTCGTTAGCAAGTCATGTGTTATAGATTGATCTAGAAATGAGACAGTCCAGGAAAGTTATTGCTATTTTTAGTATACAGAGGGGAATTACCCAAATTAAAAATGAAGAATTAAGAGGATAGGGGCTATCGCTAAATTAAATTACAAATCAAATTTACATATTTTTTATCTTACATGACAGGTTTTCATTACTTTTCTCAAGTTTTGTCCCTCTTGGAAAGCTTTCGTATATATATATATATATTATTATTATTATTATTATTATATTTAAATTAAAAATAAGTTATTTAGTATTTACGTCAATATGCTACAATTAGTTGAATAATTGTCAATCTTAAAATTGTAACCCTCTGAGCGGCCAGGGTTTCGCCAAGAAAACACAAATTTCCCAAAACTACTATGAGAACAAATTTTTTTTAAATTTTTATTTTAATGTAAAATCTCTCCTCGTGTTTCATACCTGAATTTGTGTACTTTTGATATATTGTCTTAATTTCTTTGACATATTTTAATATGCACGTGTATATACGTTCTAACAGATATCACAACAAATACTCTAGGCCGTATATATACGGCCTTGCTGCTTAGAGGGTTTAATATTTGACTGTCAATCCTTTTGAATTACAAATTGTGACCAATAGAAATTTCTTGCAGATAAATTCGACACCTTGACACTGGCTTCCTTGATTTCCTCAAAATTTCCAATCTGTGTAATATTATCAATTAAATTGTTTTCTCTTTGCGTGGATCAATGATTTGTATTTATTTTTTTATTTCGTCAGCAGAAGGATGACCGAATTTACTGGGCCTTAGCTAATCACCGATATACTAATGCCAAAGTTGGCGAAAAGAAAAAAGTACTTACTTGTATGAATTTATGAAGAAAATGATTATTACAGTTGAGTTGGATTTTGTTATACAAAGCTAAAATTACTTGATGTCAAAATTCTACAGCGAGTCACAAAAAGGGAAGGAGAAGATAATTCTATATCTTCCGCCTAGTTTTATATCTAGGTGGCCGATCGCGGAAATTTAAACTGCGTGTTTCATTTCCAGAAAAGACTTAACGATGCATTGAAGATTCGCGACTTATGATGCAGATTTATAAATAGCATTGTTCTAACTTATATATTTTGATTCTAGACCCGACTTTTCCAATTTTTATAGCTCGATTAACACTTCAAATTACGCATAACTGCTAAATTTTATAAAAATAATACCAGGCATTTCTTTATTATTTAATTCATTTTATCTGGTGCTAATTTTAAACTTAGAGGGGATGTATTCACTTGGCGAACTTCTAATTTGCTTTAACCCTGAAGAATTTTTTTTTTTAATTCTTCAGTTAATGACCACGTACTAAAACTTTTTGAAACTTTATTAGTTCTGCATCCTAAGCATAGTAACTTTATAATTTTCAAAAAATGATAATTTTTTAAGCTGCGTATTTTTAAAATACTTAATAACATCTTTTTAAATTTCGTTCATTTGAGAATAAAATTAGATATTTAATTTCGTCTGCCAAAGATTAAGCATGGGAATTTAATACATGATTAAAGCGTGTCAGTATGCGTTATCACTATATAGAGTATTATTTAAATTTCTAACCCGGTATTTTATGCTAATTTTATTTTCAATCAGCCTCCTTTCCATTTGCCTGCCAGAATATAAATTTCTATCTCGCGCGATATTCAAATTAGGTAGAATGAAGAAGTTATTTAAAATAACATTTTATAGGGTGAAAGTAGAGCGTGTTCTGCCTGCTTGAAGGCCACGTTGCTAACTTTGATTCTCTAGCAATCAGTAGACTGCGGCGTTGAGTTATTCTTGCTATTAAGCTTGTTTATGCCGACTTCGGTCAGAGACAGCTTACGCGCTAGTTATACTGTGGAGCCGTTAGGCTAGACTTAAATTTCATTAGTTTTAACTTAGCCATAAACTTTTAGCTTAGCCATAAATTTAAAGCCAAAGCTTTTGGCTTTTGTAAGCACAAGTTGGTGGCGACTATTAAACTTTATTTGGGTTAATAAAGAGTGGGAAGGCCAGACCCTATATTAAAGTAGATTAGATTTAAAGCAAGTCAGAATACATACTGAAGTACACTGAACATTTTCGTTAAATATTATATTTTAAATTTCTGATAAATTAATAATTATCGGCATAGATTTTTTTATGTTAGTTAAATTAATGTATAAATGCCGACAGGAAATATTTGTAGATCTAGCAGCCATCACCTTTCTAAGATGGCCACCTCTGAAAATGAGTATTCTTTCTCATAAGGTAATTTAAAGAAGTTGACTTGAAATTGGGGAAGTTCAGACTAACAACTCGAAAAAGGATTTATTGTTTAATTATTTTTAAAACTTAAAAAATTTGAAATATTTAAAATATGCAAATACTTAATTAAAAATAATATCTAAAATTCTCTTAATTAAAAATAATATCTAAAAACGTCAAAGCTCCTTACTCTTTTTGAATAAAATCAAAAATTAAATCATTTAGAATTCAGTTTTAAAGCTTCCACATTTCGTTGCTAAGCACAGAATAACACGAACGAAGAATGCTTAAATATTAGGAAAGTATATATAGTGCCTCACTATATCAATTACTAAATATTGGTGGAACAACTTACATTTTTCTTTCACTTATACTATTGATGATCTTTTTTAAAATTACTTGTTTTCAAAACGTTATTAGAAACAATTTTTGGAAAAAAAAAAAAAAGAAAAAAAAAAAAAGAAAAGAAAAAAAAGAAAGTTTATTCAGAAAAATTCTGAAAATGAACTCACGTAAGTATTCGGACATTTTGAACACGCAAATTTGTATCTAATAAAAACACGAAAATAATAGACATACGACAGTTCAAGCTATACAGTCTCAGTTAACATAACTTAAGAAAACAACAGAAAAAGTATCTGCACATCACCTGCTTTGACGCATTCAGGAGTCAAACAATTATAAGCGTCTGTGGAAATGTTGAGGAGATTCAATACATGAAATATGGCCACTGGCTTGTTTATAGATTCCATCATATCTGTAAAAATATTTCACTTACTTTTGAGTAGTGTGTTAAATTACGTATAGTTAGACATAAACATTAATAAAAGTAGTGTTTAAAAAATCTGAAAACTTTCAGATTTTACGCCCAAACGACCGTGTTCCTCCCCCCCCCCCATTTACAGACACATACACGTTTCGAGAGAATTTGGGCTAGTGCCACACTGGGCAAAAATATTTAAAAATAGCATATCTTTAGAATTTCCGATAGAGTGTCTCGCGCGCTGGAGATAAAAATATTTTATTCTCTACAGTATTGTCATTGCTCGCTTTGAAATTGTTGAGTTTTTTAATCAAAAATTCGTTCAAGTTTTACAAAATATTAAATTGACAATAAAACAAATTCCAAATTCGGGCTTCCAGGTGCCCATATTAGGGTGGAAGACTATGTTATTGAAAATCTGGTGACTCTACATACCGTTTGTATTTTCACACTGCAAGACACATACATGCATTCATGTACATTCTTCATTATTTAGTTTCTTTAAATATAATGCAGGGAGATATTATTTGGTGGCAACAGTTTGAAAAGTGATTCGAACATTTAAAATGATTCCACCCAAAATGCCCTTTCGAAAAATGTCGCTTTCGAAAAATCCCTTTTGGGCTAATGAAAGCTTTAGAAATGAAGCAACTTTAGCAAGCTTTTTTGGTATTTTAATTTCTTATGACAACCCTCAGTTGGCAGTGTATAGTTTTGTCGCCCAACCGGCGTCGCTGACTGCCATGACGAAGGTCACGGGTTCGAATCCCGGAGAAGGCATGCATGTTTGTAAATGTATAGTGTCTGTGCGGCATGGTGGCACTCTAAATATGCGGCGAGCGGAAAGTCCTCTCGTATGGTTTGGTGGAAAGAAAGAGGGGTGGGAGACTCTCTGAAATTGGGGGCGGAACTAAGCTAAATCGCACTGTCACCTGTAAGGTATTTAAGGCTATTGCCAACGACAGGCATATCTTGCGCTCCTTGTCACGAGGAATTTCGTGGGCTTTAGCTAATCTTAAGCCCCAATCACATATGTTTCCTTTACAAGGGACTGGACGTCGAAAGGGACAATTCTCAGAACCCGCACATTTTCACGAAACCTCCGTAGCTAGGTTACCATTTTTACACTGCTCGACATTGAAAATGCAACACCAAGAAGGAGTGATCAGAAATTTATGCAAATTTTAAAGTAGACGCACGTCACTCAGTTATGCGAATGATGTGAAATACGCAGCTCTCCAACGCACGTGAAGTAAGATATAAGGGAAGGAACGTGCAGAATGGGCAAATATTCGTGTCGTTATTTCTGCCAGACGAATTATTGAAGAAAGTTGGTATTTGTCCCGGAAGATACGAGTAATAGGAGAAAATACCAGGCCGCCGTCAACGAAGGCCCTTCCATAGACGATTTTCCATAGACGATTTTTCCATAGACGATTACATAGACGATTTTACGCCGTCAATGAAGGCACTTCCATAGACGATTTTTACACTTCCATAGACGATTTTACATAGACGATTACACTTCCATAGACGATGGTGATCGGACTGAGAAGGGCGGGTTGGTCCTTACGTCAAAATCGCAGCTGATACCCACATGGATACGAGCACGGTGCATCGGCTATGGCGAACATGGTTGCAACTAGGAAATGTGGGAAGAAGGAGGGGTGCAGGTGCAGCCAGAGTGATGTCAGTACGCGTAGATCGACGCATACGCCGACAAGCTGTGGCGGTCCCGCAAGTCACTTGCACCGCGATTCTGCAGCATGTGCAAGAACCCTGGATGTTCCCGTGTCGACTATAATGCAATTTTTCAACAGGATAACGCCCGACCACACAGTGCTCGCATCTGCCAACATGCTCTGCAAGGTACACAGATGCTTCCTTGGCCACCGTACTCTCCTCCTGACTTGTCACCAATCGAACATGTGTGGGGTGTGATTGGACGCCGTATGCAGACTCTGCTCCTGCTTCGTTCAGAAGACGAACTGTGGCAAATGGTTGAAAAGAAATGGAAAACCATTCCTCAGGACGCCATCCGCACTGTTATTGACACTATGCTTAATTTGTGATTCGCAGTTTGTAGTGAATCGACGCAAAATCGCAAAACGAAAACAATAGTCCTTCAGGGACAAAGCTCCTTTGGACTAAAAATATAGGTACAGAAAAAATATGGTATTCTTCTTCACAATGCCATCTGTGAAATAATATGCAACGATGTCTTCGCGCAATACACGTGGCGGCTGGAATTAAATTTTACATAAAGGTGTTTTGCAGAAGCTATTTTATTGAACCTCACATGGATTAAACAAAGTCCCTATCGTACGAGGAAATACAGCAATCATTGTAAGGAAATGGGTGATAAAGGTACTACTTTGGTAGACGGTTGCACGGATTTTTGGCTATTTACTTTGGCGCAATTGTTGGCGCGGTTTTTACAGTCGTCAGCCGTCTTGAAAAATGCTGTTTTTACGTATTTCACGCATAGTAAAGTATTCGAAACTTTAAAAAAATAAATATCGTTAAAAATAATGGATTAATTTTTTGTTGAAAACGTTGTTTTTTTAAGATGGCTGGCAAATGTAAATAAATACATTTACTAAGAGTATAAAATGCTAAAGTAAGGTTATATGCTAAAGTATACTTTCATATAATAGAATAAAAACACCGCTATAAAAACAATGCGCCAACATTTAATTGGAATAAAATATTACTTAAATTGAATATTCGATTAAAAACATTAACAAACATTTTAAAGAATTAAATTTTTCAATTACTTAAATTCAAATCCTTTAAAATAAGTTTTATAGGATATAATTATTTAACATTAAAACATATGTGGCAATAAATATCTCAGGAATTTTTGAAAAAAGTGTATTAATTTTTTAATAAAAATTGAAGTATACAATAATAAAGTAAAAGAAAAATATGTACTTACATTTTTTTAAGCATTTTACCTTACGTAGATTGATAAGTACCAGGAAAAAAAAAAAAACGATCTTCATCTGTTATCCCCATCTCTCGCACTTCATTGAAGAAACAATTAGCGAGGTTTCCTCCAAAAATTTTTAAATAAATTTCCTCTCACCCTTGTAACAATAAATAAATCTTTGATTAGGAAAATCCAAGGTTGGACCAAAATAAGGTCTCAAACGGCAATTTTTTATGCCGATATCCAATAATTCTTGGTAATTACCAATAACAACATTTATCTTCGAAACGGAGACATCCATTCTCTTTGAAATCTGAGGAATTCGAAGAGATGAATAATAAAATTTTAAAATGGCGCGGTAATGCACAAATATTCAGTAACCAATCAGGGAGCTGATTACATCACGCCTTAAATTAAAATTATTTAAATAATCATTCATAATAAAATCATATTTAAAAATGCAAAATTAAATTGTATTTTAATATTTAACAGCGATAAATAATGTTTAAAACATTAGATTAAATTTATAGATATTAAAACCAATTACTTTTAAAATAATGTGACGTCATTCATTACATCATTCACAACATAAAATTGCATAAAATATCATAAACAATAAAATTTTTATTTAAAATAAAAGTGCAAAATTAAATTCATTTTTATTATTTAGAAGTCACAAATAATATTTAAAACACGCAATTTACGCATAATAAAACGTATTATTTTTTAAATTAAATGACAACAAAGTTTCGGTTACCATAAATAACTTGTTTAGCAATGGGTTTACCATAAGTCGTATCGCTCGCCCAAAAAAATCGCCAAAAATCCGTGCAACCGTCTACCAAAGTAGCACCGTGATAAAATATTTTGAATGTCACCTGGTTTGGAACATACGGATTCCAAACAATCGGGAGCAGTCATGTTCAACTGTTGGCATTTTGAGCCCGCTGGCAGATATAATTCTGGACCGGAATCTGGAAGAAAATATGTCATCCATTTTAGAATTCCATAACAAATGATTTACATATATGTTAAATATATTATACAATTTACAAAAATATCGTGTAATATATGTAAACGTTTTATTGAAGATTTTATGGAAAAGCAAGTTGATAGATAAGCTGAAAATTTTTCATATATGTAGACTGTCGGACTAAAGTACTTGGACTAAATCAGTTGGACTGAAGCACGAAACATCAAGCTATTTTTAGGCATCCTGAATTTCAGCAATGTTCACCGATGGTGTAGGGAAAATCGTGAGCTTGTGTAAAACTATATTAATTTTAGCGCGCTTTAAATATTTTTATAATTACAAATGAATTGCTTTTAATAACTTTAATGCGGCGCTTTTTTATATATGAAAGTATTTTCAATCATTTCACAAATAACAAATAAGTGGAAAGTTTCTTCTTTATAATTTCTGTAAAAGTGTTGGATATTTGAGATCATTGAGTAAATTTAAAATTTGCTGGGGTTCCTTTTCTAAATTTGTATTCGTATTATTAGGCAACACATATTAAATACAAAATTTCTATACAGTAAAGTTTAGCAAAATGGCAGTTCCTTTTTGATGAATTTATTGACCTTACATTAAATTACCGAAATTTGGTGAGTATTGTTTAGTATCTACTTGAAGGCCTACAGTACAATGCTTATTTATTACGTGGTAGTCGTTTATATTATGATCTCCTGTACAAAAAACGCTTTTATTATATATATTTCAGAAAAATTCTTTAACGAAAAATTTTCACAAATCGTTAATGTAATTCGAAGATCTAAAATTGTAGCGAGCTTTCACGAAACATTAGCATGAGTTCCAATTTGAGAAGTTTTTCAAAAATTTCACTACCTATTCTACGATTTTCATGCAAATTTTGCCTTTTTTTTCCTTGCAGTAAAATTACTATCCTACTTACAGTTAGCTATAAAATTATAATTCACTGCTTTTTATTAGAAACTTATAAGGTATTTCTCCGGCCTTCTTAGCAAGCCTTCGTAGTGTAGTGGTCAGCCTGCTCGACGCGTTTTGGAAAGGTCCGTGGTTCGAATCACCGCGTGGGCATTGCTCATTTTTCACATCTCCTGCTTATAAAAAAACTTAATGTCTCTACGAACTTATATACTTATTTCTTTCTGCGATACGCCGAAAATGTAACGTCATAAGGTTATAGCTATACTTAAGGAGAAAGAGATGTTATTTCTCCTATATTTCTCGGTTTTATATACCTCTATATGGCTGCTGGTAATAGTACTGTATAAGAAAGCTTATGTGCTTAAGATCCTGGTAATTCCAAAGTCTAGATTTCTAAGTAATTTTAATTATCAGACCGTCGCTTAACTAGACCGTCGTTTATCTGCATCTAATTCCATGGGATCAATGCCGAAATCAGAGTCAGTTCTACCAACGGAGAAACACATTGATTTGCAATAGAATTCCTTCTGATATGCTTTATTCTAGTTGAATCTTGTCATCTTCCTAAATAGTAGTTTTGCCCCACATCTACTAACTGCATATCTCATATCTCTCATAGTCGTTCTAAACTAGAAGTAATTGATAAATCTAAAAGTTTAAGATAAAAGAATCTTGAATAAGCTCCAAGATCGGGTAGCATTAGTTGCCGCCATCGGTTTCAATCAGGTTTTTCTTTAAAGATACAAAGGTCCTATGGACAACAAGGGCAAAATGCTAAAATACTATGGTGTGTTGTTAGTTATGTGGGTGGAAAAGGCGATTTTTGAATGTTTTGATGCAGGAATTAATTTCTAAAATTAAATGTCCGAGTTTTATTTAGAAAGGCGAACAAAAATAAAATTAAAAAATATATATATAAAATTCTGAAAGCTTTCAGATTTTACATTACGCCCAAAGGGGCGTTTTTTAACGTTTTGTGAATTATCTTAATTTTTTTAAATATCATGTTATTTGCACTTAAAACATAAAATTCAGTTCAGCAGCAATATCGCAAAATAATTTTAAATTGAGAATATGTTTAGAATTTCAAATACACAATCTCGCGCGCTGGAGATAAAATTGTTTTTTTCCCCGTAGAGTGTTGCCATTGCTCGCTTTTAAATCGTTGAGTTTGTTAATCAAAAATACATTAAAGTGTTACAAAATATGAAATCGATAATAAAACAAATTCCAAATTAAGGCTTCCAGGTGTCCATATTCGGTTGAAGATTACGTTATTCAAAATTTGATGGTTCTAGGTACCGTTGTTTTATCCCAAAGCGAGAATCATGCATATTTTTATGCCTATTCTTCATTATTTAACTTCTTTAAATATAATAGAGGGCTTTAATATTTGGTGGCAACAATTTGAAAAGTGAGCCTACAAAATGACAACGAAATTAATAGCCCTTCTGAGCTAACTCCCCTTGAACTAATAAGTAATATTTAAAACTTAATAAAATATAAAAAGATAAATAAAAATTTAAAAAATTAAATTAAATCAATAAAAATTGTTAAACTGATATGACTTGGACTGGAATTACAAATTCACTCAAAAGCTGAGACTTACTAGAGCCAGGCTCCGGCGGAATTAAAATCTTACGCTCATGTAAAATCTTACACACAGTACAACTTTCAAACGTTTTGGAAAGTGTACGATTATGTGGATTGATAGTGAGCTAAAGTGCTGTGGTTAAGGCTGAGAATTGGTAGAAACGTTAGATGTTGAACTTGTAATCAAACCATTACAATTCGACGAAAGAAATGAACGTTCGATTGTGAACATTCCTATGAAGCTCCATTAGATGAATGAAAGCAGTTTAAAAAAAATATCTCTTCCCCCATAACACAAGACATCCTCAGGATATCCTATTTAAGTCGCAATCTCCCGGGAAGCAGTTAGGATATCCTGAGGACTTCTTAAGTCAACATCCTGAGGATATCCTATTCAAGTCTCAATGTCCCAGGATATATGAAGATCTCCTCAGGATGTTGATTTTCAGATATCCTGAGGACATCGTAAATCAACATCTTAAGGATTTCCTGTTCAAGTCGTAATGTCCCGGGATATATGAAGATTTCCTGAGAATGTTTTTTCTCAGATATCTTCAGTACCTATTCTGCATATGAAAATTTAATTGTTATGCTTACACTGGATTTCGTCTTGTATATGTTGGCTGTAAATATTAAGTAATAATATTTTCAAATTTTTCTTGTTGTTTCACAGTTGATCAGAGAACTTTCTTACAAGTTATAGGCACGTGTTTTCATCCGTTTTTTGAGTTTCATATTGAAAATGTTGTTACGATTAAATTCTAATTGCTACATAATATTTTGTAAACATTATTTTAGATACTTTTCTAATATCTTTGAACACAAATATTATGTACGTTACAGGTTAACTCAGAAAAATCTTTTACGAAGACATTTATCCTATGAACAGATGGGCATGATGTACATCCTATGCCTTTATCTGGCATTCGAATTTGAGCCCTTCTGTACGGCAATCAGTCAACTAATCACTTACCCGTCTTCTGAGGCACTAATCAGAAATATCAAGTTATAAAACTATTCTATTAAATTCATCGATAGTTCTTAGCATAGAAATAACTATACTTTGAAACTGCAAAAGAAAAATAATACTTTTTGATCTATTACACTATTATATTAGTAATGAATGATGTTTAGTGCTGTGCAGTAATAAGTAACAATATTTTTTTTTTTTTTAAACAAACGAAATTTTAGTTTACAAACGCAGTTAAAAACTAGTCTGTACGAGGTTTAACTTGCTTTAATTTGAATTTATAAACAGAAGAATAATTTTATTGGGCTAAAAAATTCATTGCAGTTTCTTCGTTCATTTTCTGGTAAGTTCTTTAATAATGAGAATTAGTTTTTCAAAGCGACTGAGGTAAGAAGTAACTTGTTTTTTACCTCTCTGTAATAGGAAAATAAGGTTTGAGAATGGGAAGAACTAACATTAAGTTCTTACTCTCCTCAAACCTCACTTTGCTACCTCTTTAACCATACAAATATTCGGTCTCTGCTAAACAAAGCGCGAAAAAAAAAACATATCCAGCGCTCTGCAGTCTTATACGTTATGCCGACAATGCTACTGACTCCTCATAATTTAACAATAATTGCTGCTGCTTTATTAATTTATTTGTAACATCCAGAAAATGCAGTAAACACGTTTCTTCAAGGTATATAACACAAAATTTAAATGTTGTTATGAAAACTCAAAAATTAGATAACGGATTAAATAGATGTTCAAACTTTAAATTAAAATGATTTAATTTTTAAATTAAACGCGTTCTTTAAAACTCAGCAGTTTTATTACTTTATTTTATACTATAAATAACAATTGAAGTTGAAAATCTTAAAGTTTTGATCATCATTATCATTGGTCGTAAATCTGCTTCTCAAATTTTCTTTGCTTTTGAGAAACCGAGCTCCGCTCAGAATGTAACACCTCTGAGCACTTTTTCTGTAGCCGATGCCCCAAGAAGATTTCTTTTGTTAACGTGGCAGATTTATGTGTCAGACCTTCCCTTCTTTTGTATCCCCCTACAAGGAAAAAACATCCCTTCACATCCCTTCCCCTTCACACAAAGTCGCAAAACGCCACCCCCAACGGTTTTTAATTGTTCCGTAATAGTGATATCCTTGAAGAAACCCCACAAAGTGGAAAGTACACGTACTTACCTTCTGATTTCCAGAATTCAGCTATTCTGCTAAACGTTAATAGCCGTCGTTCCAATTCTCTTTCAGTTACGAACTGACCTTGCTGACGCTTTGCAAGCGTTACATTGACAGAGTGTGAAAAGTAAGTTTCTAAATGTTTCCTTTATTCTACAAAAATGATCAGAACTAAAAAAAATTATCTCAGATATCTAAAAGACGATTTACAGCAGAATAAATCAACGTATATTATCGGATTCGTCAGAAGATGAAGTAGTATTTAATTATGAAAAAGGACTGTGTCGAATTTTCGCTCTAGCAAATATTCTTTAAGTTCCATTT